CCCATTCATATATTGGAGAATGTCCTAAGGAGATTCCCAACCTTTTCTTCACTAGTTGCTTTAGCAGAAACATCTATCTTATGTACTTTATTCTCAACCCAAATTCACCTATTAGAAAAAACTGACATTAAAAGCTGGTCATCCACCAAACAACAGGAGTGCCCAGGGAACATCACACAGTCCAACAATTCCTATAAAACTTCAGCATGGGCACTGAAGAAGCACATCCATTAATCAGGATTACCACATTAATCCTGAAGCAACAGGAAAAACTAGCAATAGTCGTTGTACCTATAACAGGAAGTGACTTGCTCAAAACAATCTCCTAGGTCAGCAGCAGAGATGGGAATAAATAGTCTAATCATTATACCTACCAATTACATCACAATACAGACCTCTGAAATAATCCCACAGTTTCTTTGAAGATAATCAGACTTGTCATCAAACATAGTATTGCCTCTTCAATTTAAAGACTGAAATTTTAAAACTTCAACCCATCAAGCCTTACACACTGAGTAGCAGATTTAGAGAACTGAGTTCCACAAATCATGTCCTCCACATCCCAAGAGGGGCATCAAATGCCATGTCGTCCCTTTCCAGCACGAGAGTCAGGGACGACACACAGCTGCTCTTATGCTACCCACCTGCCAGCAAACTGCCCTGCTGTCACCTGGACCAGTGACTCAATGTACAAGATCCCTCTTTCCCATGACTATATGGCAGGTGATAGCCCTCTTTCTCCCATGCAAGGGGAAAAACAGATTAAAAAAAAAAAAAAGAGAAGTCTAAAAATAGTCATAGGGGTATGTTTTAGTTTTTTATAGGAGAAGGGTAATTGCTTGGGATCCAGGACAACTCACTCGAGGTTGTGGTTTGTGCTCTGCCCAGAATGACGAGTACCTTTTCTAAAACGAGCCTGCAAAACATCTAAATTCAGGCCATGTAGTCCTGGTTTAGTGTCTCCTGTACCAGTCCCCACCGCTCCCAGGGCAGGCTTTGCTCCCTGGATGATAATATTGCCTGTCCTAGATTACAAGCCAGCTGTGCCAGAGGGGACATACAGGAGGCTTTGCCCTCCATAAGTAATGCACAGCTGCTCTTTCTTAGCTGAAGACACATCAGAGGGACCCAGAGCAGCCAATAAATTCAGCTTTCCTCACACTTCTCAAAGGCTGAAGAAAATTTACAGTTGCCCTTCAACACACTTTCATTACGTGGGTGGTACAAGTTGGATTCAAAACTGAAAAGACAATAGTCTGAAAGTAATTTTTAGCAACAGTGTCAATGGTACTTTCTCACAATCTAGAAGAGGTGGAATGGCTATAGAACAGCTCTTAGAGATTTTATGTCCTATATTTTAACACATTAAATCTGGCATTCTTAGCAGTATAAAGCAAGACTTAATTTTCCTGTAGTGCATTTTACCAAGCTGTCTACTGGCAAAGGCTGACATGGTCAGGACAGTAACTTTTCTGTTTCCACAGAACTCAAAACTTCTGTGAGGGACCCCCCATAAGACAGATCCATCTATGACATTCACTCATTTGCGAGGCGGTTCTGATGAGCACATTTCCCCATCTTCTCCAAATTGTGCATAATACCAACTTTCTTACACACAGTTCTGAATACACAGCTTTCCAGGAATTTGCCAAGTTTCTCACATTGCCTAATAAATACCTTTGTGGGGTGCATTTCATGCTCATTTGGATCAGATATCTATTTTTAGCTTTTGCCAGTTAGACAGTTTGCAAGGTTAAAAGAACAAAAACAAACAGAACCAACCTCCTCCCTCAAAACAACTGGTGCATAGCTTGACTTGCTCTGTATTCACACACACTTTTTTTTTTTGAAAAACCACTCTAATGTGGGAATTATGTTTATTCAGATCTGTTCCAAGATGCTATTTTGTTAAAGCATATTTGCAATTGCAAAGTTGTAAACAAATTAAAGGCTTTCTCATTCCTAAAATTCAGTCTTGCTGTGGGGAAGCTGCCAGTAATGACAGTAATTTATTTTAGCAAATAGCACGTTCTGACTAGGCTAGAAAACAAAGCCTACTTGCTCTTAAAAATAACCGCCTTTGAACTACCTCTCCCGAGCTCAAGGAGTTCAGATTGAGTCTCTTTTTTCCCACAGCACCAGTCCAAGATGCATGAGTCACAGGCACCATCTCTGCTCCTGCAGGGCACCCCTTTCCCAGTTCCATTCCTGCTCCAGGGTGACTCTTGCAGGGTCCACACTGGAAACAAGCAGGTATGCTTAATTATACACGTATGCAGCTCAGCTTCACCATCTCACAAAAGTACAGACTTAAGAAAATAGGAAAAATAGGAAGATTTAGATTACATGTTAGGAAGAAATTATCTACTGTGAGGGTGGTGGGGCACTGGAACAGGCTACCCAGAGAAGCTGTGAATGCCCCATCCATGAAGGTGTTTGAGGCCAGGTTGAACAGGCCTTTGAGCACCCTGGCCTAGTTGAAGGTGTCCCTGACCATGTCAGGAGTTTGGAACTAGATAATCTTTAAGGTCCCTTCCAACCCAAACCATTCTATGATTCTATGAAATTCAATTCAAGTCACTAAGTAAGAACTTGGTTTAAGGGAAGAGCAGAATCCTACTGTTTCCTCAGGATCTCATATTCGAACAAGAATAATCTTGTTTGCCAGATCTAAAACACAATAACTACACATATATTACTAAAGTTTAGGGTTTAGGGTTGGGTTTCTCTGGTCACTATGGAATCTCAGTCCGACTTATTCTGATCGCCCATTGCTTCCTTTTATACAGCAACCTTGCCTGTTCATATTATCCAAGGGTACATATCTGAAAGCCCTTTGCAGATTAGCTGCCTACTTTCTTTCTTTTATTTAAACTTTCCTCTGAAGTTTTGATTATTTTATCGTTTTCTAGCTAAGTCACATCACACAGAAGTAAAATTATTGTGTAAATGCTCCTGTTTTATGATAGAGGAACATAGCAAAAAAATCACTATCTACTTGCTACGCCCCTCATATGGGTGCGTGCTGCATGCACAGACAGGTGACCCTGCAAGCCAGGGACACATCAGGGCTCTCCGGGCTCAGCAAGGCTCGGGTGAGAAGCAGGGCTTGCTCAGCACATATGGGCAACCAGAGAGAATAGACTGGAGCCAGCTAGGCAGGCTGATAAACTCGACAGAGCAGGACAGAAACTGGTCTGAAGAATAAACACTCTGAGAAGACAGGAGAGATGGCTAAGATAGACCAGAAGAGAGGCATCAGGTCTAGGAGGAGCAAAATTTAACTGGGGCATGGAGGGAAGGGTGACTACAGGAGAACTGAATGCAAGCTATGGGGAGACAACAGCTTTAGGCAGGCGCAACAGAATGGAAAAGCCTGAAAAAGCAAGAGTGTGGACTGCTAGGAAGAACAGAGGGAAAGATGAGAGAGAACCAATATGAAGATGAAGGCAAATAAGGAGAATGCATAGGAGGGGAGTGGCTAAACCGAGAAGGGATGAACAGAGAAGGAAAAGCATAGAACTGGAAATACAAAGTGGAAGAAAAATGGACACAAGTGAAAGATGGAATGAGATAAGGGTCTAATGGATAGGACAGACAAGAGGGCAGACTTTAGTAAAGGCACAGTGAAAGGCATATGGAATCTAAAGGAAAATGACACACTGAGAAGGTAAGTTTTTTCCAACAAGGTAAAAGTACAGATCTCACATTAGTTTTTAAAAAAGCTGACAAACTTTTAAGTCAGCTGTGCATTTTTCATGTAATGGAAGCTTCTTTCAGGAACAAGCCAGGGGAGCACAGAGCAGGTAAAATAGGAATGCCAAGCTGTTCTTCTGGGTGCCATTAAGTTTCTTACCTCTCAGGCAAACTAGGTATTGAAATGGCATCCTCTTAGGCTGTCTTAAAACAGCTTATTATATGATCTAAGGTAAACCAAACATTTTGGAGAAGGGGAAAAGGTTGTCTTATTTCACTTTGGCCCAGATCTTCTAAACCGATTGTGCTGATCACTTGGCAAATACGCCAAGACTGCATGTGCCTTCACTTCATTGTATCTCACATCCTCGTCAAATGGCCCTACTAATTTTGCCTAGAGAGCTGCTAGAGACACTACAAAAAACAGTCCTTCCTAACAGAAAGAGGTCACAGAGTTCAGTGATAACAATGAGAATGCTGATTAAAACCAGCTATTTCTATATAAGTAGTATAAATTGTACCATATATAGGATTTTTAATGAGCTGGTTGAGATTTTTTTTATGTTTTAAAGTAAAGCCCTTTTAATTAATTCGGAACTTGCATGGGAATATACTAATTTTCATTAAAATGCTAGTGGCTTTCACTGAAAACAGCCACCAAATTTTCCTCCTTAAATCCCAAATAGTTTACTTTAAAGTGACTGAAAATCAAATCTCTTACCTGTTGGGAACAAATACATGATTTTTCCTTTTTTTAATTATTTTTTTTTTTTTTTAAGTTATAGGCAATCCACAACCATGCAGGCTGTTTAGGCATATGTGCATGTGTGCACATATGTGTTACCTAGAAGTTGAACCATCACCAGTCACAATTCCAGCTTTCTACATACTTGGAGGCACACACAGACAATTCATCAATGTGCACCTGGTAAGATGGGCAAGGGCAGATGTAATGCTACAGCTATACACATTTTTGCAAGATACTTCTGGTATTCCAACAATCCAGGCACACTATTCTAGTACAGAATACTAGATACATACTGGACACCTACTAAGCTTATCATCACATTTCCCAAAGGAAAATCTTTTAAGGAAATAAAAATATGAAAGAACTGCATCTGAAACAATCACACTTTCACTAAATCACTTCGTCCCACCATGTCCAGCCCTACCCTGGTCCTATCAGCAAAACCAGTCTTCCTCTGAGAATTTGCCCTACTGCAGGTGTCTAATTAAGGGGCTTTAAATCATCTAACTAGTCACAACATCTTTTTTCCAAAAGAATTGTAAGCCATGCATAATACCTCCAACAAACCCATTTTCCTTTGTTGTCTCCGTTTTGACACTGGATTGATTAGATGTCTTCATCTTTGAGGTATTAATGGATTCCAAGAGGGAGACAAATTCTAGAAAGTTAGATTCATTGGGCATCTGTCCTTCTTTAGCTTCTAGATCTGATTTAGAAGTTGGTAAGGTCTTTTCCTTGTCAGATACCTCCACAAAGTTCTTACTTAAAAGCACATCTGTCCCACTGTCTACACTCAACACCCGCATGTGCCTCTTTTCATGAGCAGTTCTACAGGACTGCGGGTCTAGGTTGTGCAGGTCTTCCTTAGAAGTTAAATCTACAGTCTGGACATTTTCCGAAGCATTTTCCTGATTTGGCTCTGAACAAGTGTTAGTTTCTAAAGGAGTATTTGCTGGGTTGCTGTGCTCCTTTACTGCATCACCCGATTCATAGCCAGAGCACTGGTTGGATGACAGCTCTGCCCTTAACATTTCTGGAGTTCTTTCGCTTTCACTAAGTTCTGGACAAGTCTTACCTTTGCTGTCATCAGACAGGTCAAAAGTGATAACAGGGATTCTGAGCTGATCACTAGTTTGCTGACTTGGCCAACCTGCTCTAACTACATCAGAGTCAAGGGCTGAGCTTGTTCTCTCAGTTTCCAGATCCTTTAAGTGGACAGATCCCGGTAGGTCGCTGAGGGTGGTGTTTGGTGTAGTACTCATTGTGATAACAATTTTAATGGGCTCACATAGCTGGTCTCCAGGAAGTGAGTTGTCCACAACTGCAACAGCAGTCTCGCTGTCTGAGCAATCAAGGTCCTCATTGGTATTACTGGCATTGCAAGAACCTTCCACGTGCTCGTGATCTTTGGTCGCATTGCACTGTGGGCAGTTACTGGTAAAGCCTGTCTGTGGTGATCCATCTGGCAATTTCTCTCTTTTGTAGCTTTTAGGATTACTCAAATGGTCTGAAATAACTGAATTTTCACTGTCCCATGGCTCTGAAGAAACTCCAGTCCTTAAAATATCACCTTGTGATGAAGAAATATTGGAGAAGTTTTTAGCTACATCTCTGTCCACAAGAATATCTTGGGATCCATGCTGTTCGTTCACTCCTTTTTCATTTATTTCATTACCAGAAAGTGTTTCCATAGCAGCTGGTTTTGTCACTATTGCTGATGTGGTGGCACCTGAAGTGGAGGTTGTATAAACAGGTAATATATCTGCTTTGTTACAGGGTGAGGTAGACGAAACTGGTGGTGCAGCCTGGTCCTCTAATACCATAACACCTAGTTAGAAAACATATGGAAGTCAGGTCTCACAAACATGAACACTATGCATTACTGAAGTATGATTTTTAGCTAGCAAAATCTGATCCAGAGGAAAGAAAGCACAGATGATGTAGCTGATTAAAACAGTTCCTAAGCAAGGAGCTTTTTCCTAGCTACATAAGTAATACTGTAAAAGCAAGCTGGGACCCTTCCAGGTCAGGACAGGGGCAGCAGCATGTCTATTTAATTTAAGTAATCAAAATAGCTCAAGAAGCAGCTAGTATCAAAACCAAAATGTTTTACAGAATTATCTCCCTTTGTGTCAAGCAATGAGTGAACAATGGTTTAAGGGATTTATAAAGCCTTTAAGATACCTCTAAGATCTTCAATAGTTTCCCGTGTTGGCAGCTCCTAAAAAATAAAAGGAAATGTACAAGGTTAGCATGGGCATTTATTACATTCTGCTGGGAAAAAAAAACAACTATCAATCAAAGGTTAATTACAGCACTGGCACATTGCTTAACATCACTGAAATTTGAACATGTACCTTTCACAAAATGCAAGGGGTAGGTGAGGGAGATGGTTATAGAACAGTCATGCTCCAAATCGCATCACTGCAATTGTGTGTGATGTTTGGGGAGGGGGAGAAAAAGAAAGATCTGGTTTTCTTTTAAGAAAATAATTTTGCAGTGCCTAATCCTGACACATTTCTTTTTTAGTCATTAACAAAAAAAATGTGTTCATCAGTTCCACTTTCCCAGCTATATGTTTCAAAAGCACTAAAATGAAAAGTTTGGTGTCTAGTCCTTGGTAACAATTTCTCAAATGAAAACCAGAGGACAGAGACACTAAATTATTATAGAATCATTTAGATTCCAAGGAATCTTTGGAGGTTTTTTAGTCAGAATCCCCTCTGCCACACACACACACACACTCAAGGCAGGTACAGTTTGAGCAGGTTGCTCAGGGCCATCTCCAACAGAGTCTTGAAAATCTCCAAAGGTGAAGATTTCACAACTTCTCTGGAAAACTTCTTCCAGTATTTGACCACTCTCTTGGTAGGGGAAAAAAAAGAACAACAAACAAGCAAAACAAGTACACACAAAAGACATTAAATCTAATTGTTCTAATTGTAGCTTTCCATGGCTGCAAGTTGCAGCCACTGTTTCTTATCCTGTCACTGGGCACCTCCGAGAAAAGTGTGCTCAATCTTCTGTGTATCTTACCATTAGAAAGCTAAAGACAGCAGTAAGCTCTTCTTCTAGTCTAACGAAAGGTTTTAGCATCATAATTGCTAAATCATCCCATTTGCCTGTCCTCATACATCATGTACCTCATTCCTCAATCACCTTGGTGGCCTCTGCTGGTTTCTCATCAGCAGGTCAGTGTCCACGGGAACTAACTGGGGAGCTCAAAACTAAACACAATACTCCAGAGGAGTACTTCAGGAGTCTAATTTCAACAGCCTAAGTGCATAATAAGGAATTAAAGCCATTGGGAAAAATGAATGCGGCTCTCTTCTGACTGACAGGCACCAAAAACAAGAGGAAATAATTATTTTCTAAAATTTCACAGTGGTATCCTGCCAGCATGAACAGGAGACTGCATTTGACAAGACCCAACCTACATGTTTGGAAGTGGGAAACTAGGATAAGATCCCAAGAAGAAATAGGTTTGCAGAATGGACAAATACCAGAATACTGGAGACTAGGACAGAAACAAGGTGAAAAAGTATTTTACCTCATAAAAAAACCCAAAACAACTATTAATGTCTGTGAATCATACAGATGCTACAAAAGGGTAAAAACACTCCAGGAAATGAGGAAATAGTTCTGATTCAGACCAAGATTTTAATAATTTGTAGTAAGTTGGAATAAGGTGGGGGGCATGGAGGACTATGAAGACAGAATGAAGTATCAAGTAGCCACTTATTCAGAGATCACTAACCATCCTCTGCACTGATTGAGGCAGGAGTCCTGTAGAAAAAAATAGCATGGGATCACATAATTAAACATTTTATCACAGTATACATAGGGAGTAGTTTAAGATTACACAGTCAGCATTATTCTGTTTCTTAATTTTTTGAATACTTAACTTTTCAATCTTCTCATGAGGTTTTCCTATTGTTTTCTTTAATAACATTTACATACATCCCCTTCATCACTTCATACACTATTGATTTATAAAGCATGGCCAGTGGCATGGAATGCACATGCATATACTTTTAACCTCCTGTAGACATCTCCTAGATTTAAACATTTTTTATGCTTTTACGTTTAAATACTCAAGACATGTTTGGTTCATTTTATAAGCATAAGTCTAGTTACACAAAATCAAATTATTAATGTTTCAGGAGCAGATCCTTTCAGAGGCAATGAGAGGCTGCTCTGATTGCATTAACCTCTCCCTTCTCTCAAAGCAGCCACAAAAAACTAATTGCTCTTGGCAATATTTACAAAGGCTATTTGCCATCTACAGAGCAGACAGATCCCTCTTAAGAAGGGCAGAATTATGCATACCAGTTTCAGCTCTGCAAAACCAGACCTTGAGGACAAGGCTGACTGACAGCAGTTGTATACCTAGTAGATGCACAGAATAACCCTTCCTCCTTGGGACAGACCTACAATCCAAGTGATCAGTACCTGGCAATACAAAACTCCGTGTGGTGAGCTACGGACTGCATAAAGTGAAGACACTATTACAGGAAAACCACATACTAACCATTGCTCCAGATGAGTTCTGCGAGTGCAGAGCCTGTACCCTTGAACTGTCGTGAATTGTTTGGGTAGAATCATTTTGGCTGGTCTCAACGACGACATTATCCCCTGTGTTATTGCTGAAAAGCAAGCAAATTAAAAGTAAGGCAATGCTTCTTAGCCCAGTGGACCACAAGTGTTTTGGGAAGTAGGTGAGGAGTAGAAACAGAAAAGGAAGAAGTAGCACAGCACAGTGAAGTGACAGCACACCCTTCCCCTCCAATGATAAAAGCACAGGGCTGTAAAAATACTGTAACCCCCTTCTGCACCTCCCTCCTCACCACAACAACTTGATAAAAATAAATGAATAAAAATCCCTCAATATAAAGTTATTCTGGTGCTTCCAGAAGTAGAGCTATGAGAAATAAAATGACATCTCTTCAAACTCCCTATGCGTATATAATGCCATTTAGCCTGCCTGACACACACACAGATTTATTGGCAGAAAAAAGACTGTTTGGGGCTTCTTATATAACAATCATATCTTACTCCTTTCACAGTTTTTGCTTTTTATGTCCTTGCGTACATATTGATTATCTAACTGCCTGTTTATTTACGAGCCTCCAATAAAACGACTACTTGAAATGCAATACAATGTGTATTAATATAATCATTAGACCACAAAATAAAGTTTTGGCTCTGGTTTGGGCAAAGAAAACATATATCCATTACTAATCTAATATGTTATAAGGCAATTTGTTGATCACTTTCTTTGTGGGTGTATTAAACTATCCACTAATTCTTTTTGCACATATTTTCTATGAACTTTTCCATGGATATAAGCAAGTATTTTTGGACAAAGTTTACTAATGAGAACCTACAAATGTTATTTTTCTCAGGCACAACACATCAAAAATTCAGTTAAAAAGAAAACAAGCATAGTGAAATGTCAAAAAGTGGGGGATTGGGCTTTTCTGTTTGTTTACGGGGTTGTTTTTTTGCAAAAAACTTTTTTTAAAAACCCTACAGTTGTATACAAGCTATAAAATTTTTTATCTGGGCATCTCAATCATCTTTCCACAATGTTTTTTTCCATAGTCAACTGGCCTCAAAAACTTGTTTAACCAACCTGTCAACTATCAGGGTCTGTTAAAAAACTCTGTCACCTGTCTAGTCAAAATAATAATAAGTTCTTTATTTTCTGATCAAGTACTAAATAATAGAATGTTGTGCATTCACAAACCAACCTAGGAGGAACAGTCATGTGATTTAGCATGCAAGTTTTAAGTGATTCTACCTCTATTTCTTCATCAAAACAGAGTCTGAAAGGCATAACCCCATCTAAAATAAAGACCTTGTATGGTTAGTGGCACATATAAGAGACATTTCTCAGAAGAGTCGCAATGCAGTCAGACCTTGACATCCCCACCAACGTCACTGCCAGAAGTATAACACAGATGTACATGTGTAAAGACACCAAAAAAGCAGTAGCACAAAGGCACATAAACAATCTTAATACTACTTAGCTGGCACAGAGATAGCAGTAGCAACTACAAATGCACCAAAAAATACCCTAAGTTCTTTCATACAGAGCTCTCTGTTGAAGCTTGACTGGTAGTTTTAACAGCTACTCCGTTTAAGCTTTGTTTAGACATTTCTATGCTTCTGTCACTACTGGATGTACCTTATTTCAGCATTTTTCACATCTGTTATAACACTTGAGATCACTGGAAGCCACTTAACAGCTTCACTTGTTTGTATGACTCAGGCTTGAAAAACCAGCAGGAGAGGTCTCCATTCATTCCAAAGAGTGTACAGTGGTACATTCTACTTAAACACAAATCTGCAAAATGTCAGTACTAGTCTTCAGACCAATACTATTTTAACTTCATTACATCACAACCTGGACTGATTATTTGCAGCAAACAATACTTGGCTCCTCAGCAGAGAAGCTACAAATACCTACCAAATGCCCTCGACAAATTAAAGTGGTACTAGCTTTCCTCATCAACAGGACCACAGAAGCATCAAAAGCAGTCACAATAAAACATGAGGGGGAAAAGCAACTAACACACCTAAGTGTGATCTAGGGAAGTTACTCCAAGCACACAAAGGCAACACGAGCTCAGGCTTCAAAAGCTGTGATATTAAAGTGTTTTCTTTGCCAAAGGTGCGTGCCACTTCCTCGCCTCTTCCCAGAAGGTAAGCACAGCAGGAAGAGGAAAGTGCACGCATGTGAAGCTTCCCCAGAAAAACTTCTCCCAGGTTTTCTCCAGAACCTTTTAGCAGCTCCAGTATCATGTCTCCTCTTATCACCTCCGTGGTACCCAGCTGCTGCTCCACCTCTGAATCAGGTGCAGCTCTGTCTGCTTCACCAAGAACATGCTTCAGCTACAGAATATAAAAGCACTAAGCAGGTTTTTAAAAGTGCCATTCCTCACACAACTGTAAGGAGTTTTCATGCAGTCAACAGACATTTCTGCCATGCAGGACCATAGTGCAAACTCATCCATTTTACAGAACGTGCCAGCAATGCAACGAGAAGCTTACCTACAATTAGAGGACTGAACTGCTTCTCCTTTTTGAACCTCTTTACATTGCCTTCCATTTTGTCTTGAGAGCTTTTGTTGAATTACTTCGCCTTTATCAAACATAAGGTGCAAACGGTAGCTGATCACCTTTATTACCGTGAAGAACACTGTCACCAAGCTGCAGTACACAAAAACTGTAACTGCATTTGCTGGAAAAGCCTACAGAAGGAAATTATAAAGACATAATGACAACAGTTTGCTTTGAGAAGATGCTGCTAAACTTTTTAAATACACTATATAGATGGAGTTCTGCTCACAAAAATAAGGTCTAGAAGTTTCTTCAAATTTCAAACCATTTCACCAGATCTATTCGTTTGATTAGCTGTGGACATTATTTATTATCAAAAATCAGTAAAATCTCACAATTGACAAACATTGTAAAATTTTTTAAAATACTGCATTGCCATGTTAATGCAGCTGCAGCCTTCCCTAAACTATGAATTTATAAAAATACAGACACAAAATGAAACATTAGTTATCTACAAACAGGAAATCCCTCAAGAAAAATTCTGCCATCTTAGCCTGAATCTCAGTTATGACTCAACAGTAAAACGCAGTAGTTTGCTGTCCTTTTTCTAACACCTCATAACATGTTCCCAAGTATCTTAAGGACTGAAGAATTTCAAATAATTAGTCAGGACTAGTCAAAACAAATTAATAAAATGCATTTGGAGAGGCAACCTGCCCTGGCTTAGGCTGGAGGAGTGAATGATTGGCTGTGTGGTGCTTAGTTGCCAGTTGGGGTTAAACCACGACACAACCTCTTTGAATTCTTTTCCTGAAGTACCTAATTGTTAATTTGCAGCTGTGTGTGATCTGTTTGCTGATCTGGGATGAGCACCATAGTTCTTAGTCATTAAAATTAATTACAGTTCAACTATACTCTGTAAAGTTCTTTCACAGACAGGACATACTAACAACATTTTTATATATAAATGCTTCCTTACACTAAAGGGCAAATCACAGCAATGGACACTCGCAGTTATAACCAAAGTTAGTCGTTATAGTCATGGAACACCCTTACGAATTGTCACAACACAGCTGCAGTCTCACAATTAATCCAATCTCTCCTCAAGTTTTAGGATTTTTAAATAGAGCTTTACTATTTCCCTGCACAGCAACAACAAAAAAGCCAAACAACAAGCAAACCAACACCAAAAAGTAAGATTTTCAATACTAAGGATTTGCTAAAAGAGGTTAATTTTTAAGAATAGTCTTTACTTTGGGACTAAATCTATCATTTTTTCAGATTCATAAATAAATCACACTGACCGCACAGGTAAAGGGAAGGGAACAAGGCATTCTTCCTTCATCTTTAAAACAAGCCACTGCATTTATCTTGATGTTGAAATTAGTATGTTGAATCATTTCTGTGTTGTTACAAGCAAGTAGGTTGCTATTCTGATGCTACTTTTGGCTTAGTGGGACCTCATACCCTCAAGACGTACATGTGAATATTTTCAGGCAAATCCTTTTTTGTGACTGATTCAGACACAAAGAATCTATTGCACAAAAGCAGAGAAGCTATTTAGGATGTAGGTATTACCAATGATCTCTAATATGACAGACATGACTTTCTACAAGTTGAGGCTTAGTCTGTTAAGAGTACTTCATGGTACTATGTATATACTGACAGCATACCCTTCAGTCATCTAGTGATTCTGGGCCAGAAAGAGGATCCACTTGCAAGGTCATGTTCTCAGGGTATAAGGTTTGGTGTATGAGTTGAAGAATTTGTGGTTTATGACTAATGTTTTTGCAAAATGAGTTAGAAATTGCTTGGTTTCACATAGAATGATATCCAATTATCTGTAATGACTTGTTTAAGAGAGATTTATTCACCTTCCAAGGAATCTCTTAAATTATACACTAAAAGGCACAGATCGACCGCTCGTTATCAAATAACAGCTCAGAATGATCCACTAGAAAAGAAGAGCTTTATAGGTGACATTCGTAATGCTTCATAAATATTACATGAATAATGTCAAGAGGACACAACAAAAATAGACTTCCAATGGTGCAGTCTTTGCGTGCATAGAGGATGCTACAAAACAGACTCAAAGGAAGCTCCTAGATTTCAAAGTGTAAAAGAAGGCCAGTTTTAGCAAATGCTGAGTGCTGCATGTCCTCATCCCTGCCTTGTGACCAGACCTACCGGAGCTGTGCCCTGAGCCAGCCTGTGGTCTCCCTGCCCATCTGTCCAAGATACACAGCGTTTTAGCTGAACACACGCTGTGCATGCTCACAGTGTCTGTCAGTGTATAACAAGGCCAGTACATCCTTAATATTCTGAATCTTGGGGCAAGCTGAGAAGTACAAGCCAGCAGGTTGCTCCCTGCCCACATGAGGAATTAGGAGAAAGATGAAGCTGATAATGGAAAGCTCTCAATTTTCTGAATTGAGCCTTGCATGACTGCAGTTGTTGTTCCCTGGTACAAACTGGTAGAAGTATCAAAACCACTTGTGCCTAAGAAAGAATTGAGTTATAGACCACTGAGGAATTAGATGATAGAGTCACTTTTGAGGCACTATAGTTATAATTAGCCTGGTTTCCTATGGAAACAAGGTTTTATAATCACACCATGTGTCTGTGTATTCATCATCTCTCTCCATCCCCTCAGCTGAAAATAGCCAAAGAATCAAAAAGTTATTCAGCAAACTTTGAGAGAATACACCCCACTGGGACAAGGTCACAGCAGAACACCTCCTCCATTAATGAGAGGAACCCACACAGCTCTCTGACCTTTTGATGCTACCCCAGTGACAGGAAAAGCTTCAACTGAGCTGACATCTTATTAGAAGCTAGAAAAAACCCCACAAATCCACAAATACAAATTCATTAGAAAGCAGCCTTCATGACTTCCCACGGGCTTCTGTGGAAGCTGTAGTTTTCTTTGCTCTCGCCCAATTAAAAACTCTACTATAATGTACTTTTTGTTTTCCAGTAGCTTCTCTTATTGTACCCTGCACTAGAATAGCGTGGGGTCACAGGCAGAAATGTGTGTGTTCCAAGTGTGGCCCAACTTACTACTGCAAATGCAACAGAGTTGACCTGACTGTATGGAGTACCTTCGCTTGGGGTTTCTGCCTGCCCAGAGATTGCTCCCAGAGGAACAGCCACATTTTTCTTCACGTGCCTGCTAGCATGATTTAAGCAGCCCAAAGGTAGAGGTGGCTGAGGCATGTACTTCCTAATACCTTTTATTATTATGTGCAACCTTTGAACAAAATAAAACGCCTTGTAAATTGGGCTGAAAAATTAATTGAATAGACCCAGATGTATCCCACCCAATCTTTGAGCCCTTCAGGCATCTAAAGCAAGGCCATGCTGCACCTGGGCCTCACTGTCTTGGTGTGCTACAGAACACAAAGGAGGGACCTATCAAACAAATATGCAGTCAGCCACTACCATCAGGCTTGCAGAGATATGCGTGGGAGATATAACACTGGGGCCAAAGATAAATATTTATATGTTAATCAAAGTGAATCAGTATAAAGAGACATCCAACTGTCACACAGTATAACACATGGGAAAACAGGTAGCAAATAACATTCCAAGGGTGCACATTCAGTTTTAAGTATGCATCCTATCACACAGTAAATACAAGATGTACAGTGTAGCCTACCTTTCTGCTGTGGAGATATATTTATATATATAGATAACTTTTACAGAGAGATAGAGTGGGGTAAAACGTGGCTGAGTGGGACTGTAAGCAGCTGACACACAGCAAGTTTATTACAGTTTACCTCTGAGTAATTTATGTGCCCACACCCTTATACTGCCACGTTGTTCTTCTCCTATCACAGCATACGATTTGAAGATCTAATGCGTAAGAAGTAACAACCCTCTAAGTTCAAGGGTTTCATGTCCAACAAAAGGCAAGAGAAATACTCAGTATGCCATACTGGGAACTCACCCAAACATGAATGCACATTCTCTTCTGGCTTGTAAAATAAGCTATAGTACAAGTATTTCCCAAAGTTCCATCTCTGAGTCACTAGTGTTTTACTGGGTCTGAATTCAGCCCAGTGGCTGAATATTAATAATTATCACTGTTTTCATGTGCAAACACCTAAGAACCCTGGACTGTTTGGTGGAATAAGATAACTTTAATTCTTAATCTATTATGAGAGTTGATGTGGCAGGATTAGAAGAGATCTCATTATAATTTTGAAAGTTCATTTTAACAGTAATGACGCCCCAAATAATATCCAATGTACATTTTATTGTACAAATAATAAATGAGAAAGAAAAGAAAGAGAGAAAAACACAGATCTGTATTTTCAGGGACAGGGGAACTAATAAAGGAATCATTAGTACCAAAATAAACTATGCTAACAAAGCTAGAGAAATAAATCCTCGATCCATACAACAGAAACAACTTGATACTTTAAGTTTCTTGGTGCTACTGTCAGCACGCCTCTGCTGAGCCAGCATGAAAAATCTAAGAACAGATGGATGAGTTTTGCCATTTGATTCAAATCAAACTGTTTCAGAGAGACTTCCTGACTTTGACAAAAGTGTAAGATTATCCCAAGCAAAGGAAAATTTTAAAAAGTAGTACTCTGATCTGTTTTGACTTTGCCAGAGAAACATCAGTGACTGCTTTAGCTGAATCCAAAACTACTGTTGTCGAGTACGTAACCTAAATATTACCCCAAACGTTACTTAGTATTATAAATAGAATCCCCCAAAGAAAACCTTTAGTTAAAAAGCAAGTTCAAGTTTCTAAGTGGCAAGAATAGATGTCTTGCATAAAGTTTATGAAGCCTTAAAATCAAGCCACTTAAAAACAAGTAAACACTTAAGGACATAATTACTCTCAAGCAGCCATCATAATAAATGCATTATTCTTATCAAGGACAAAGAATTCCCATAGCAATACATTAGCTCAAGAACACAAGTCCTGCATTTAACCAGATGATTCATCAGAAAGTCAGCCACCCTGCAGAAAAAGCAAGTCCATCCAGATAGGCAAAGATGACGCCCAAGAGAGTTCAATAGATAAGTTATGTTTTCTCCCATTCCCTTTAAATAATGCCTTAGCTCTGACCTGCAGTCCCGTGTTCTTTTGTGCAACCCCTTGGTAACATGCCTTCGTCCATGCCATTAGTTCAGAAGTTTCCCGCAAGGAAACACATATCCTTTCAGAAACATACTTACATAAACTGGGAAAAAAGTTAACTTTCAGTTTTTTTCCTTTTTAATCACACACATGACTTGGATAGTAAATCCTACAATGCAAGACTCTTGCTGGTTTGCATAGGAAACAGACCCTATCAATCAGAAGAAAGCATATTGTTATCTTGGTTCATTACCTCCAAGAGCCATCCTAACAGGATGCAATCCACGCCACAAAATGCAGTATACCCATTCATGTTTAAAAATACAAAATTTGCTTTCCACTGGGATTGTAGAAGGATTCATAAATGCTCTTTGCTTTTGAAAATCAGGACAATATCTGACCATGTAGGGTGAAGAGACCTATTTAGAAGTTTCATCCAATCAAAGAAAATTTGTACAGAACTTCGTTAAAAATTTAGTTGAGTCACCCTAAGAACCAAATGGATGGAAACTGTTTCTAGTGGAAGCAACATTAAGCTGTAATCACTGAAGGACACATCAAAAAATAGATGTGATGATCCAGCAAACTATATTTCTCAGCTTTTCTCACACAGTAGGAAAACACACAAGAATAGACCAAAAGTTTCAGCTTTTCAGGAAAATAAATTTTGAAGTCCAGCAAACAAACTCTAGTTATTATTCATTTGCAAAGTTTAAATTTCAGCACAAAGGGAGCTGCATGTCGCGAAAAGCCATGTGATTCACCAGTGACATTCAGCAAGGCATATTAATTACACAGTATTTGGATTTTTCCATTTATTTACCCTTCTCAGCAGGTAAGACTGGAGCAGACTTAGAAAAAAAACACCTGTCTCTAAAAGAGATTTTGAACAAACATCCCTACGGTCACTGAACAAACAACCCCACGGTCATTCAGCGCTTGCAGAGGCCAGCGCTGCACCCCTACCCAACTCCTTCCAGGACTAAGGGTCTGGCCCCAGCCTAGCGCGCCCGGCGGACTCATCCCCTTAACCTTTAGACACAAATGCTCAGGGAAAGCCCAATATGCCCCATTTACAAGCCCCCCCGGGATCAGTTTATAGTCCCTCCAGCGCACACGCCCTCGCCGCTACTGCCCGCGGACCGGGGTCCGCGGCTCCCACCTCACGCCCCCCGCTCCTCCCTGCCCCAGCCCCTCTCACCAGGTGCAGGGCCATGGGCAGCGTCAGCAGGAACAGCCACAGATAGAGGTGGCAGCTGTTGGTGAAGGCGCCCTGCTCCGGGTCGTGGTACCAGCCCCCGGTCAGCGCCGCCCACACGCCCTGCCCCACCAGCCGCGCCGCCGGCGACACCATGGCCGCCCCCCGCCGCCGCCACCGCCGCCCCTCAGCCGCCCGCCGCCGCCGCCGCCATGCCGGGCGCCCGCGGATTCTCCCATGGTGCCCCGCGACGCCGAGCATCCCGCCCGCCCCACCCCGGGCGCCGCCGCCGCCGCCGCCGGCAGGGCGCTGTCACGGGCCGCCCCCCGCCCGGCACAGCGCCCCGCTCGCCCCCGCCGCGGGCTGGGGGGCGCCGCCCCGCTGCAGGGCCTGGGGGACCGCGCCGGGCTGCCGGGAGCGGGCGGCAGCGCACGGAGGCCGCGGGGCGCGCAAGGGCCGGGCCGAGAAGCGGCGGGGGGGAGGACGGGTCTGGCGCCGGGGGTGTCCGTCACCGCCGCGTCCCGCCCCGGGCGGCCGCGACGGGGGGCACACAGGTGCAAAGAAAGCGCGGCAAAGGGGCAGCCCCGGCGGCCGCCGGCTGGGCTGCGCCTCGCCGGCCACACCCCCACCGCCGGGTGCTCGTCGCCGGTTACTGATCCTGCCCGACACATCACGAGTTTCCGATCCGTGAGCTCTGCCCAGCTTCGGTGTTGCCCTTTTTGCGTTGACTTGAGCTCTATTTTGGGCGGGATGTGGGAAAATAACATTAAAGAAATTTGGTTTCTTTCAAGAATGAGTTCAGGGTAAAACCAAATCTGCCTTCGTTCATGAGTTTCACTTAGCTGACCTCAAATTAGCGAACTGAGGAGTTAAGGGAGGGGTGGGGGAAGCATAGGCGTGCTAAGTATGGGGGAGCAAAGCTGAAAAGATGATGCAGCTGAGTGGAAGCCTTGAGCAGGGGAGGCCAAAGTCAGTGAAGGATGAGGCAGAAGGGTACAGGCATATCCTTAAGGAACTCCCTGAAGGGAGGGTTGTAAGGTTAGGCTGTGAACACTAGAGCTGATCATACACAGTGCTCCCCTTCTCTTACCCTTGACCATCAGAAAACAGCCCTGACCTTCAGTTCTCTGTCTCTCATCGGCCCCTTTTAGGGACTTTTCCACATGTATAGACTTTTATTGCAGTCAATTTTGTGAACCATGTATGTATGTAATGGAGGTAGCCAAGCAGCTTGAACATCACCAAATTCACCCTACATCCATTGCTCCTGACTGTGGCTCCGGTTTCATGGACCAAACACACTGTGCTTTGTGTGGTTTTTTTAGACAAAGGTAAGAGATCAAACATGCTATTAAGCAACCATACTTGTGTGCTAATGAACCACAAACCTCAGCTGGCTTCCTGATATTGCAGGTGATGTGGCCGTGCTGGATGTTTGTCTTGGTTTGATGGCGGGGATGATACAGCACTATGCACAAGCAGCTGGGAGCAGGGGAGGAATGGCATTGTCTCCTTCAGTAGCACTGGCACCCCTAGATGCTTGAGGACCTACAGCCATGTGGCTTGGGTACTTGCTTGGTGTGACCTCAGTGAGCAGCAAAGTTTATTGAGCTGTTCTTGAGCTGTATGAAGGAGGCACAGTCCCAGCCATGCCTCATGCTACTCCTGTAAACACATCTTGCTCAAACCTCTGCCTTGTTAAGTGAATTTTCTTTTTTTATCCATTGCAGGTTTGTTCATAAAAGTAATGATTGAATCAAGTGCAATATGCAGCTATGAATAATATTTTTGATGTGTGATAATTAAAAAAGTTAAGTTTCAGAAACTACTGAAGTAATTTTCCACAGGTAAAGATCATGTACATACACAGCTCCAAAAAAAGAAAGATGAGTAAACAAAGGTTTTTTGAGACCTCTAACTCATATGGGTTTTTTAGTGGAAGGTCCAGATAATGCAGGCTTTACTGCAATTTATATACTATTAGGATGACTTGTCCCGGTTTTGGCTGGGATAGAGTTAATTTTCTCAGTAGCCATGTTTTGGATTCAGTATGAGAATACTGTTGATAACACACTGATGTTTTGACTGTTTCAAAGTCGTGTTTATCCTAAATGGAGGAATTTTTTGTTTCTCATGCTCTGCCAGTGAGGAGGTACAAAAATGGAAAAAAAAAAGAAGCCTGTGAGGGAGCATAGCTGGGACAGCTGACCCAAACTGACCAAAGGGATGTTCTACACCATATGACACCATGCTCAGTATATAAAGTGGGGAGAAGGAGGAGAAAAGGGGGGATGTTTGGAGCGATGGCATTTGTCTTCCCAAGTAACCGTTACACATGATGGGGCCCTGCTCTCCTGGGGATGGCTGAACACCCTCCTGCCCATGGGAAGCAGTGTATTAATTTCTTGTTGTGCTTTGCTTGTGTGTGTGTGTCTTTTGCTTTTCCCATTAAATTGTCTTTAGTTCAACCCATGAGTTTTCTACCTTTTACCCGTCTGATTCTTTTGCTGATCTCCCTGGTGGAGGAGTGAGTCAGGTGTCTGCGTGGGGGTTGATGGCTAGCTTGGGTTAAACCATGACACTTGTCCACACAACACTCAAATCTTTCAACTCTTCCTCATCTTTGGATAATGTTGACAGCAAATATTTTTTGGTATAATGGTACTTGCAGTTTTGAAGGCTTCCTGTAAATTCCAGGTCCGAATATGTGTTCCAGACACAGTGTAGATGCACAAGTACTGTAGCTACACAGTTGCAGGAGTGCCAAAGACGAAAAATGGGACTACTTTTCTCTTGAGAGATGCCAGTGAGGGACTGAGCGTAAAGCTTTGCCGTCTGTACGCCGCTCTTCACACCAGTAACTCCACTAGGTGGTGCCGTCAGGAAAGTTAAGGGTGCTTTACACTGTTCTGGATCACAATATTTACATTATTGGAACTCCCAGAAACAGCAACTGTATATCAATATCCTAGAGCCCTGGGTGCTGAAGAAACACTGAAAAAGAACTAACCTGAGTGCAGTGCTTGCTAATGCATAATGGTCCTTCAGACAGCAAATTTGGGGATAATAGCTCTAAATAAATATTTAAACATTTCACTGTACTGCAACCAATACCTTGTCTGACCCAAAACATTCCACACTTAATTAGTTCCTGCAGATTCTTTTAGATAACAAAGTACAAGGTGGAATTTGTGCGGCAGAACGCTTGTATTACAACATACTTTATGGCTTTTATAATAAGGCAAATATGCAGATAAGGGAAGGCTTGTAATTACCTCTCTGAATAGCTGCAAGGCAATCTTATATTAAAGGAAATGGGAGAAGACTCGACAGACATGCTGGTTCTGCATTCTTTGTTTTTAGTAAACTTAGTTCAATAAGTCACTTTCAGTATAATTGTATTTTTGCCTTATGTATACATCTATAAATATCGTTTGTGGGATAAACAAGAATTTATGATTATTGAATACCGTAATTTTAATTTTTTTTCATTACTGTCTTTCCATTGAAACCTTACTCCTGTGATATCCAGCTTCAAACTTTATTTATGCAGGGATGTACAATGCTCTGCATGTGGGTTTTTGTGCAGGAAGCTGAGCAGCATTCATCACAACAGGCTATTTGACCCGGCAGCGCAGTTTTACACCTCTCCCAAGCATTTTCTATGCACCTCAGGGCCTCTGCTGGCAGCAGCCACATCCGTAACCACAGGTCCCACAGCACACAGTGATCAGCTCCTAGGATGAAAACACATCTACTTCCGCTTTTAACCACTGTTTCCCACAGCACTGGCGAGACAGGAGGGTGTTCTCAGCCCACACACTTCCCTCCAACTTCCAACGAAACGACGACTGTAGTTTAGAATGTGATAGGATTTTTCCACTTGAAGCCAGGAGAATCTTTACCCAGAAACAGCGTGTACACAGCATTTGCTCTTTTCAGGCAACCTCTTCATGAAAGGATTGCAGGATCACGCCCGCCACACAGGGCTCTCTCGGTCCTTGCACTGACAGAGCAGAGCTGGAGTGGGTCCAGCGGAGGGCAACAAAGATAATTAAGGGTCTGAAGCATCTCTCTTACAAGAAAAGGCTGAGGGAGTTGGGCATGTTCAACCTCGAGAAGAGGTGATTGAGAAGGGACCTCATCAGTGTATACAAGTATCTAAAGAAGGGTACCAAGAGGATGGAGCCAGGCTCTTTTCGATGGTGCCAATCAATAGGACAAGAGGCAACAGACAGAAACTTCTGCACAGGAAGTTCTACCTGGATACGAGGAAGAACTTCTTGAGTGGGTGACCAAGCACTGGAAGAGAGTGCCTACAGAGGATGTGGAGGCTCCCACACTGGGATATTCAAGAACCATCTGGACACGATCCTGTACCATGTGCTCTCGGATTACCCTGCCTGAGCAGGGAGGCTAGACCAGATGTCCCACTAGGGTCCCTTCCAACCTGACCCACTCTGTGATTCTGTGAGAGCCCACGAGTGGCAGAGGTGGGCGGAAGACCATACACGCACCGAGGAAGCTTGGGTTTCTTCACCAACTGCCTGGGGTTTGTTCCAGTAAAGTCCCAAGACCTCACAACGAGGGAAAGGGGAAGCCGCCGGCGGGAGCAGCCCCGGAGGACAAAGCAGTGCCCGTGGGCTCCCCACGCTCCGAACCCCGACCCGCGGGGGCCACACGGCACCGCCGCGCCCAGGCCCACGTGACGGCCGGCGGCCAATGGGCGGGGGCGGGCGGGCGGGCGCAGGGCCCCGCGCTCCCCTCCCCGCCTTTCCCGCGCGCGCCTGCGCGCTCCCTGCCGGAGCCCCGCGGCGGCGGCGGCGACCGGGCCGGGCGGCCCCGCCCCGCCCCTGCCCGAGCCCCGCCCTCCCTCCCGCGGCTCCCGCTCGGCGGCGGCGGCGGCGGCAGGTGAGGATGCGGCTGGGCAGGCGCCCCCGCGTCGGCCGCGCTGCTGGTGGCCGCCGGGGCTGAGGTCGCTGCCATGGCTCTGCCAGGCGCCGGGGCGGCGGCGGCCGCCAGCGGTGGCGGCGGGAGTTCGTGCCCGCTGTGGACGGCGCTGTACGACTACGAGGCGAGCGGCGAGGACGAGCTGAGCCTGCGGCGGGGGGACGTGGTGGAGGTGCTGTCGCAGGACGCGGCCGTGTCTGGCGACGACGGCTGGTGGGCGG